TTTCAAAAAAAGAAATTTAAATTATTGGTCCCCTCTTACTTTCTTCCACCTTTGGTGGAAGGGAACACATTTCCTGGCTCCTTTTCTTGCACATTCAAAGGGAAAAAAATCAACCAGACCTTTTTCTAAAAATAAACAACAGAGCTACACTTTCTCACAACCCCTGTTTCTTACTTTCCCACTTCCTCATCCCAAGAAGGAAGATTAAAGTGTGTGTGTGTGTGTGTGTGTGTGTGTGTACGCGCGCACATGCGTGTTGTGCATTTTACCGGGAGCAATCCAAGGAAGGTGACCAGCCCTGATTGAATCAAGAATTTTGATCAAAGAATTTAGATCAAAAACACTGGCTACACTCCGGAAGGAAGCAGGAAGAAATTGTGGGAGCAAGAACTGAGTTGATGCAAGGGGTCTAGCAACTCAGAGAATTCCTCCTGATATGAAACTAAAAGTTCATCTTCAGGAAATGCTCCTTCCCACACAGATTTTAGAGCTAGTTCCTGGCACACCTGTTCAATTCCCCCAAAAGGCTGGTCTGCCCTTTGCCCTTACAGACAAGGGCTGGCAGCTGAAGCAAACGAGAGTCCTTAGAATCCTGCAAACCCATTACCTGTGTTATTTAGCCACATCGTAAGGAGAAGGTCATGTATAAGATTCAAGGCAGTGTGTTTTCTCATGTAAAAACGTGGCATGGTGACCTCAACCTTATCTTGCTCAGGCTAGAGTGCCGTGGTGTCAGCCTAGCTCACAGCAACCTCAAACTGCTGGGTTCAAGCAATCCTGCTGCCTCAGCCTCCTGAGTAGCTGGGACTACAGGCATGCGCCACCATGCCTGGCTAATTTTTTCTGTTTGGTAGATACCAAGTCTCGCTCTTGCTCAGGTCTCCCAGAGTGCCAGGATTACAGGTGTAAGCCACCGTGCCCAGCCTGATAGATTTTTTTAAATGGTGTTTTTCCATTCATATAATAAACTCTACTTAGTTATGACAAATTTTATAACACACTTGGCTTTGATTTGTTAATATATAAACTAGAACTTTTATATCTATGCTTCTAAGAAAAATTGATTTGTAATTCTCTTTTATTGTACTGTCACTGCCTACTTTTGGTAGTAGGCCATAACATCATCAAAAAATGAATCGGAAAGTTTCTTTCCCCTCCCCTTTCCTTGTCTTTTGAAACAGTTTATAAAGAGGGGACATTAGTGAAGGTTTGGTTAAATTCTTTTGTGGGTGGAAGATTTTGATTACTGACGCAATTTTTAAATGATTTTAAAATGACCTTAGAACTATAACTGGAAACAGATGAGACATGAGAGATTTACACACTTCAATTGGACTTAATTTAAATCTAGTTAGGAAGGATATAAAAAGATCCAAGAACAGAACAGGATAGAACCAAGTTGTTAAATTTATAACTTTAATAGGTTGAAGGCTAACTTTAAAAACCAAGGGAGCACTTGATTAATTTTTTCTGTAAAAGGCATTCTCAAAGATACAAAAAAAAAAAATCACTCACATAGACAACTACTCATTTATTTAAATTTTCTATTTTTCTTGAGTCCATTTAAAATATTTTGTATTTTTCTACCCTTTCAGTCTCTGAGTAGATTTTTTTTTTCCATATTTGAACTTCAGAAATGTCACCCAGGGTATCTTGGTATAGATCTGTCTTTATAACCTTGCCTGAATCTTGTGGAGCCCTTTCAATTGAAAGATTCAAGATTTCCTTTGATTAAATGAGAGATATTTCTCTCATTTCTTTGTTGTTTCTCTGCTGTGCACTCTGTTCTCTTTCTAGGATTCCTTTTATGTAAACATAGAAGCTAGCTTAGTGCAATGGCATGCACCTGTTATCATGGCTATTGTGGGGAGGCAGAGGAGGGAGGATCACTTGAGCGCAGAAGTTCAAGACCAGTCTGGGCAGCATGGTGTGGCTCTGTCTCAAAAAACAGTGTGTAGGCCGGGTGTGGTGGCTCATGCCTGTAATCCTAGCACTCTGGGAGGCCGAGGCGGGCGGATTGCTCAAGGTCAGGAGTTTGAAACCAGCCTGAGCAAGAGTGAGACCCCGTCTCTACTAAAAAAATTAAAAGAATAATTGGCTAACTAATAATATAGAAAATTAGCTTGGCATTGGTGGGCATGCCTGTAGCTCCAGCTACTCGGGAGGCTGAGGCAGCAGATTGCTTGAGCCCAGGAGTTGAGGTGCTGTAGCTAAGCTGACACCACGGCACTCACTCTAGCCTGAGCAACAAAGCAGACCTTCTCAAAACAAAACAAACAAACAACAAACAAAACAAGTGTGTAAAAAAATGATATAGGAACTCTCCTACTATTTATGTGAATTATAATTCTTATCTTTGTTTATCTTTGTCCTTTGAATCATCAGGGGAAAATCTCCAATAT